ATCTCTGATTACAATACATCTCAGGCATTCCTTCCAAATATGTGTTGTTCTATAGCAGCGGTCCCCAACCTTTTTTGTGCCACGGACCTATTTAATGTCAGACAATATTTTCACCGACCGGCCTTCAAGGTGTCGCGGATAAATACATTAAAATAAAATGATAGGACCAACACAAAAAATGCAGCGTCCTCCTGAAATGTGCCAACAACATTGAGAGTAACATCCTCTGCCCCTTAATGCTCTCTGATCACTATGGTAACGTGTAAATATTTCTTTCAAAATAAGACACACAGCTACAACACAGGAAAAGACCCAGGGAAACCGAGTTAACAATAAAAACCCTGAAAATGATAAATTTCACACCCAAGCCTCAAATCTTGCGACCCGGTACCAAGCGGCTCATTGACCGGTAACGCTCTGTGGCCGGGGGTTTGGGACCGCTGCTCTATAGAATACATTTTCTATAATAATTTGCACATTATTTCTGCATTTCTGTAGATCCCACCTCAACCCTAACCCTTGATGCCTGTGAATATTTCATTATTGTAACAAACTATAAACACCTCATTATCCCTGTGTTTTGATGTTCAAAACTTCAAGTATGTCAGGAATATCTGTGCTCCAGGATGATTTTCAGGAATAGTATTAATTTTAAATGTTATTGAAGCATAGATTAGTTAGCATAGTAGAAAAAACACTACTCTTAAAAATGTCATCAGGTCACTCAGAACTTTCTCGGTTTTAAGTTAAAGTATCCTAATATTCTGACTTCTCTGTGGTTTTTAATCTACTTGTGTGGTGCGCCGTGAAGTACATGTGCTTTAACTACAGAGGGGTAGCGCGTCCCTGCATTTCCTCTACTTTGGTGGTCAGATGCTAAAATCAAACCCTGGCGAAGTTACAACAAGCTGGATGGATGGCATTTCCAAATGGGAATCCTCACATTTACTTGAAAGGTTAGTTCACAGAAAGTGCATTAGTTACTCACCACTTACTGAATGGGAAAATGTAGATTGGTAGCCTAATTGTATCAGTGTCCAAACACAACTTCCAAAGCCCAGTATAAGTATTCCAAGAACACCTTTCTTTCAAACTTTTCAACACTCGTCTCTTCGTTGGTTTCTAAACCGCATATGCAGCATAATAAATTATTGTCAAGTGATTGCTAAATTTAGTCTTAAAGATCATGACGATGACATGAAATCACAGCCTCACCACAGTGGATTTTATGTCCCAGTGGGTCTAATTTATTCAAACCAAACACTGGGTCCTTCGCCGTATTTGTGCTTGTTGTTACCTTTTTGTCAACGACGCACAGCTGCTCTGCTGGTAAGTAGTTGAAGGGAAACATGAATCTGTAGTTGAAGTTCCCCTCTCCTCCCAGAGAGCGGTAGTGGACGTCTGTCTTCTGCTTGTTGTGTTCATGTCCGTCGAGCCAGCTGAAAGACAGAATCAGTTATTGTGACCTTCACCCAGTTTATTTAGCTTTATTTTGAAGTTAAATTTGCTCCTCTTACCCTTTGACATAAATGTCACTCATCTTCTCCCCGCTGATGCTGACATCATCCAGGATGACATCACTGGTGTTCCAGATGATGCAACGCAGGAAGAACCTGAAAAAAAAAAAGATTCAATTACCTCAGATACTGACTGACTTGTTTTGGTTGCCAGAACGGGAAATGGATTTGCCTTTCTTGACATATTTGTGTGTTTGTGTTCCTACTTTTTGGCCTTTCGTGGCGTGATGTTGAACGGCGGTCCAGGTGGTCCCAGAGACTTGGGGAAGAGGTCAACCCACATCATCAGACGCCCCTGACAGAGAGCACCGACAAGCAAACAAAAAGTAAGAAAATGCTTTAGAAAAAAAAAGTGGGAAAGGATAAAACTGAGAAGGACTTAAGCACACACACAAGTGCAGGATTGTGTGTGTGCGTGCTACCTGCTCTATGTCAGGTTGGAGCGGGCTGTAGAGTGGTCTGGTTTCCACATGTTCGGATACCAATCCCAGTTTCCTCAAGATGTGAAGGGACAGTCGCTCCTTAATTGGGCCAAGATGACGTTTGGACACATTTTTGTCCTCTGAAAACATGACACACACACACAGAGAGACACACACACACACACAGAGATTAGGGTTTAAGTACAGGGCCGGGCCACTCAAGAGTGGAGAATGGAAATCCAGAATACTGGGCAAACTGGGAAGCAAGCAGGTCCCTTAGGAATAATTCATTATTCATACGCACATACACACTTAGTGAGACACTAACACACTCTAAAGCATTGGTTGTTCTCTCTGCATCACAACCAAATGAGGAAAATCTTCAGGGCTTCCAAGCAAAATGAAAATATCAAGCTAACGTCAAAAGTTTATGACTGTAAACTTGGAGTCACCTCGGCTGTAAGAGGAGAGGAAGGAAAGACTGAGGAGGCAGAGGAGAGGAGGGGAGATGTGAAGATGAGAGCAGAGGAAAATGAAAGAGGAGCAAAGCAGAAGGACGAGACTA